GCTCTGTCCAGGAGTGTGAGGACAGCCATTTTCATGTCTCCACAACTTTTTTTTTTATCAGTCTAGATATAGCTTGTTCTATAAATTCTTGGTTATAAGACTTCTGTGCAACTAGTCTTCAATTGGTTTTTCAGGTTGATTGTTTTATATTTTAGTTGTAATTCCAGTTTGGTCCTGGAAAGTCTGAGTGTATCTTGCACCTATTCTGCTGCCATCTTGAACTGACCACATTTTCATGTACCTCTTGTCCATCTGTATGTCATTTCATGTACCTCTTATCCATTTATATGTCAGAAAAAATGTCTATTCATATCCTTTGCCCATTTTTAAATTAGATTGCTTGGATTGTGCTATTGAGTTGTGTGAGATTTTAATACATTTTGGATAATAACCACTTAGAAGATATATGATTTGCAAATATTTTCTCCTGTTCTGTTAGTTTGCCTGTTCATTTAGTTAGTTGATGGCTTTCCACTGCTGTGCAGGAGCTTTTTAGTTGGATGTGCTCCAATTTATTTATTTTTGATTATTTTGCTTTTATTTTGGTCAACTTATTGGGGAGTAAGGGGGACCTCTTCTATGATTTCTATTGGTCTTTTGTGATGGAAAACAATGAATGAGGTACACTAATAAGAAGAGGGTCAGTGGGACAATCCATAACATCTGCTATGTAGGTGGTCATAACTGATACGCAAATGGGTGTCTGATACACAAAAGAAAATATATTGAATGAAGCTTGCATTATGGCAACTACCATAATGCAAAATCACACATGTTTGGAAATAGAAGAAATCAAGTCTGTCTTTGAAGAATTGTTTTGAAAAGAAAAACCACTCCTGGATGAAAACTATTGATCTACCATGACTCAGAAGATTCAAGAAATAGAAAATGCAGATAAAAATGGAGTGAGGGGAACTCCGTGGATTTCCTCAGATTCAGATAGAATGAACCTAAAATAGCAAACTCTAGTCAAGAGAGTCTGTGCATGGAGAAGAAGGCCTTAGTGCTGGAATAGAAGCAATAATGTCCTTTGCTGTATAAACAAATGAAAAAGTTACAATGACCACAATGATATGATGTCCATCTATGTATCTAACCAATTTCTAGTAACTCAGCCATAATTCCATATAGCTTACTTATTGTCATACTCTTGAATACATATTTCCCAGTTAAATTTCTTCTCATTTTTTAAATTTAATATTCAAGCATATTCTCCTATTAGCAATTTTTCATGAATACTAAATACTGGTGAAGATGTGGAAAATATGAAACCTTCATGAATTTATTGTGGGAATGTAAAACTGGTGTAACTACTTTAAAAAGAACCTTGGCAATTTCTTTAAAAATTAGACATAAATTTCCCTATGACCTAGTATTTGCAGTCCAAGGTTATCTACCCAAAACAAATAAAAATGTGTATCAGGACAATGAAATGTGCACAAATGTTCACAGCAGCATTATTAACATCTCCAAAATGAAAATATCTAAATGTTCATAAGCTGTAAATGGATAAGCAAATTGTGGTATAAACATTCAATAGAAGCCTATTCTGCAATTAAAAGGAATAAAATATTGATTCATATACTTCTACATGAATAACCCTGTAAAACATACACCAAATAGAAGAAGGAAGATACAAAGGCCACCTATTTTATGATTCAATTTATATGAAATATGTAGAAAAAAACAATGTATAAGGACAGAAAGTGATCAGGGGGTTTCTATGCTAAAGTGGAAGTGGTAATTAACTGTAAGTGGGCAAAAAGATATTTTTGAGGTGATAAAAATTTTGTAAAACTGGATTTTGTTAACAAATACATAAAACTAGAAGTTTACCAAGATAATCAAACTTAGTACATTCACAAAGGGTGAATTTTATGTGTATAAACTATCCTATGTAATAAAGAGGTAATATGCAAATTAACCATCACACCATCACATCATCACAAGATGCCTATGACCACTGCAGAGGCAGGGCTCCTGTAACACAAAATGGCTGCACCCATAGCGGAAGCAGAGTTTCCTTAATATAAGTTGACTGCACTTACAGCAGAGGCAGGGTTCCTGTAATGATCAATCAGCAGGGACCTAGGCTGCGTGGTACTGGGCCAGGACAGGGAACCTGAGGCTGCATCCCCAGCCCAGCAGAGCTTGATTGGGACCTCAGGCTGTGCTCCCCACCCCAGTCTCGGGCTGGGGTACCTCAGGTCACACCCCCTGCACTGGCACCAGGCCAGGAGACCTCAGGCCATGCACCCCACCAAGGGGGCTTGATGGGGTCCTCAGGCCATGCCCTTTGCCCAGGCTGGAGGACCTGAAGGTGTGCAGGGAAACCTGAGGCTGAACTCCCTGCATAGCAGGACTTGATGGGGACATGAGGTTGCACCTACCCCCACAGCAGCTGGGCGACCTGAATCTGTGTCCCCCGCCTGGTGCCAGGACAGGGGATCTGAGGCTGTGCCAACTGCCCGGTGGGGCTTCATGGGTGTGAGGCTGGCCAGGTCTGGATCTTGCCAGGTCTGGATATCACCCATGGCTGGGTCTGGGTCTTGCCCAATTTCGAGGCATAAGCAGGTGGGTGGGGACTTGACTCTGGGTCCTGTGGTGTGCCCCAGACTCTGACAGGAGGAAGATTTTTATATACATTTTAATAATTTTCTTTCATCTCTGATACTTCGATTATAGACAAAGGGCAAATAGGAATATTAAAATAGTTCCTCTAATTAATTCTCTTTTTATGTGCATGAATTTAATGCACAGGGCCACTAGGAGATATATATATATATATATATATATATATATATATATATATATACACACACACACACACACACACACACATATATATAGTAAATATGCAAAGTGTACCCTTGGGAGTTCAACCAGGAAACTGGGAGTTCGAGCACTCACTATGATGTATGCTGACCACCAGGGTTGGTACAGAATGAAGGAATGCCCCAGGGGGCAGCTGGTAGCCAGCAGCTGGAGAAGGAAGGTGCTGGCTAGCATTTGGAAGGAAGGCCCAGACTGGCAGCTAGAAGGCCCTAATTGGCCCTGATTGCTGACCAGGCCTAAGGATCCTACTTATGCACAAATTTCATGCACTGGACCTCTAGTATCTCAATAAAAATATTACAACATAAATTTTAGAGAGTTTTTCCTTAAATTACTCAATGTGAGTTCAAAACTTGTGTTTGAACAGGATCTGCTATACACCAATATTCTTATGCTCAACACTACATAGTGCAATCATTTGTATCTCTCTGGTTTCTTCCTCAGTATGCCGAGTAGACAATAAACACACATTGGATTAAACTTAATGAAAACAAGATTAATTGAAGTCACCTCAAAGAAGTCTTTTCTCCATTTAAAAAAAAAAATGTCTTTGAATAATTGTACAATCCTTACTATGTCCCAAATAATTAGTTTCTATTTTTTCTCCAAAGTCCCTAATTAATTTCATGATATTATCTTAATACATCACATTATTAGCCCCTGTGTTGACTTTTGTTCATGCAAAAGCAGATGCTGAGACAAGGATTTATGTTCAAACACTTTATTGGAAGGAGCCAGGGACATGGATGGGAGAGAGGGGAACTGATACACAAAAGAAAATATATCGAATGAAGCTTGCATTATGGCACCTACCACTGTGAATAAACAGAGATTTCATCTCCGGGGGAAATTCTGGTAAATGGTAAAACCTCAGCATTATTCCAGATAAAGGATGAAAGACATGCTGTACTCTATACCTCTCCATCAAGAGCTGTCTTTGGCCGAAACCGGTTTGGCTCAGTGGATAGAGCATCCACCTGCGGACTGAAAAGTCCCGGGTTTGATTCCCGTCAAGGGCATGTATCTTGATTGCAGGCACATCCCCAGTAGGGGGTGTGCAAGAGGCAGCTGATCAATGATTCTCTCTCATTGATGTTTCTGGCTCTCTATTTCTCTCTCTTCCTCTCTGTAAAAAATCAATAAAATATATTTAAAAAAAAAAAAAAAAAAGAGCTGTCTTTGATGGGACATAATTTCCTGTCACTTCTGCTACCACATATTGGGCAAAGTAGGGTCCAGCTAGTACTGGATGTTGCCATTCATGCAATGGAAATGGTGAGAGGATGTCAGATAACATGGGAGGAAAGTTGACAGCAAGTACTCCTCCATGCTTCCTTGCAGAATCAATTTTCCCCCCAATTAAGTTCTAAGCATGTTCCACAATTGTGTACCTATTCTTCCTGAGGCACCCCCACAGAGTTCCAGAAAATAACTAAATCACTTGAGAAAACAACTCTTATTATATTGCACTCATTATTACATGGCTTTGGATCTTAGAAGGTGTATATCAAGATTGCGATAATGGGAAATATAAGTAAAATAAAAAAGGAAAGGAAGAAAGGATCACACAAAAAAATGACACTTCTCAGCTTTTGAGACAGTAAATTCCTTTATGATATCTGAAGAAACCATCCTTCAAATCTAGATTCATACTCAACTTGAAAATCACTTTACAGTTCCTGTGAAGGTAGGATAGTAAAGTAAGCTTTCCAGGTTGTAGTCCAACTTCAATTCTGTCTCTTTTGAAAAGTAAAGTGAATGAGAAAAAATATCTCAAAAAATGTACTTCAGATAAAATTAAATCATTCATGTGAAGAAACAAGAGGAGTCCTGAGAGCATTATCATGCTGTTCTGATTACTGTAGGATTTTCATATAATTTTATCTGGACAAAATATATATATATATAAAACCCAAATAAGGTGAAGATCAGTTACATATAAGGACAACTTTTGGAGAAACTAAGTCAGCACTTGATATGATAAGTGCTTTAAATTAAAAGTGATAACTCCAGGAATGCTGACTTGAACATGGAACCCTGTAGACTGCATATAAAGAAGAAAAGTAAAGGTGGAATTTCTGAGGAAAACTAATATAAAAACAAACAAAAGCAAAATCATACATGTTTGGAAATAGAAGGAATCAAGCTTGTCTTGGAGGAATGAAAAAGAACCAGATATTTAAATTTGACATTTACTTTTGGGCACACAATGTTAGTTCTGAGGCCAGAGATCCATCACAGACAAGGTGCTGCTAGGTTGAGGAGCCTTCTCAGGGCCCCCTTCACATCCTTGTTCCTCAGGCTGTAGATGAAGGGGTTCAGCATGGGGGTGACCACAGCATACATTACTGAGGCAATTGAGTTTTGTAGGGAAGAATGGGTCAGAGCAGAACTGATATGGACCCCTAGGCCTGTACAATAGAACAAGGAGACCACGGAGAGGTGAGAACCACAGGTGGAAAATGCTTTATATTTCCCTCCTGCAGAGGATATTCTCATTAAAGAGGCGACAATCCTAGAGTAAGAAAATAGAATCCCCATAAAAGGAAACACACCCATAATGGCAGTAGCCACATTCAAGACGATGGTATTTACGAAGTTGTCAGAGCAGGCCACCTTGAGTGTCTGAGTCAGTTCACAGAAGAAATGTGGAATTTCAGTGCCGATACAGAAGGTCAGCTGCCTCATAAGTAGAATATGAAGCAGGGAGACTGAGACAGTGATGAACCAAGACATCAGAACCAGAGTGCCACAGAAACGTGGGTTCATGATGACCGTGTAGTACAGGGGGTGGCAGATGGCCACATATCTACCATAGACCATCACAGTCAGGATGCACTGGTCCATTCCAGAAAATATCATAGTAAAATACACCTGAATGAGGCACCCAATGTAGGAGATGGTTTTCCTTTGTGCCTGGATATTCACCAGCATCTTTGAGACGGTGGTGGAGGTGAAACAGATGTCAACAAAGGACAGGTTGGCAAGAAAGAAATACATTGGGGTGTGGAGGTGGGAGTCAGAGATGATGGCCACAATGATGAGCAGGTTTCCAAGTACAGTAAACATATACATGGACAGGAACCCTCCACAGAGGATGGGCTGCAGTTCAGGATCATATGAGAGACTCAGGAGGAGGAATTGAGATGCTTCTGTGTGGTTTTCAGCTTCCATGCAGCTGGTGTGAGTTCTAAAGGAGGAAAAAGCAACCTCCAGTAAACAGCCAAACGGCATCTCAGCTGGTCATCACCTTCTGAGTACCCCCTTGGTGTGGGCATCATTCATGATCTAGTAGTCATCCCAATGCCAGTCATTCAGTCGTTTAAATGGTTACCCAATTTTATTTTAAATGATGTAAACATGCAGACTTACTTTAATTTAGCTGAAGTCTTTCTCTTTTTATCTTCAACTCACTGGTTCTAAATCACTTATTGAAATCTATGGACATAAACCAATTTTTTCTTTCATACTAGCCTTCCAAATTAACTAAAGATGTTTAAGGTGCTTACTTTAACAATCTCCATACTACTTGCATTTCATAATAATGATTAAAACATGTGTTTTCAGCTCAAACAACATTAATTCTGTGACCTGATGCTTTATCTTTATGTCACAGTTAACTCTCTCATGTGCCTTATTGTGTTTCTAAAGTGTGGTTTCTGCTGTTACAATTTTTACAAGGTAATAAAATGCCTTTAATCACAGTAAGATCTTTCTATGTTATAGCTATTATTATCATTATTAATCTATTCTTTCATCACAATTATTTTTTATATATAACTATTCCAAAGTACAGTGTAGACCTATAATTTAGAAATAGGATGTGAGTCAGACTTCCTGGAACAGAATTTGGTCTACCATGTTATATCTCTGTGACCTTGACAAAGTTATTTAATCTCCCTCAGCTGCAGTTGCTTCACATGCACAATGAGAGTACTAAATCTTCCTTACATTGTAGGATAGGTGTGTGATTAAATGGCATGATGCATATAATTTTTTTAGTGTAGTTTCCTGTGATATACACTAGACATGTGATGAATATGAATTTCTGTTCTTAACATCATAGAACAGCTGTTTTGCATGATGGTCATTTTTAGTATTTCTCTTAAACTTGGGCAGTCATCATTATAAACACAACAGGTCTTTATTTTTTTTATCACCACACAGGATTTCTAATTAATGAAGATCCTTATGGTTTCCCATTTCAGAGACTGCCTGCCAAGTGGATTCTTCCAAGAAGAGGAAGATGCACATTGACTATATAGATAATAGTGGGAAACAGAAGTGCAATACCATCATAATAAAACAAAAAGCATGTGTGCGTGCATGAGCTCATTTGAACATGCTCTCAAGTGGAGATGTGTTGTATTCAAATCAGTATCATGAATTGAAAAAAACTTACATATTTTATTAAGAAATATTCAAAGTGTTTATACATGAAATCATCCTAAAAATTGCAAGGCAACTTTAAGATTTGAAAATAAAAAAGCATCAAGCCAGCCCTAACTGATTTGGTTCAGTGGATAGAGCGTCGGCCTGTGGACTCAAGGATCCCAGGTTCAATTCCAGTCAAGGGCATGTACCTTGGTTGTGGGCACATACCTAGTGGGGTGTGTGCAGGAGGCAGCTGTTCAATGTTTCTCTCTCATTGATGTTTCTAGCTCTCCATCCCTCTACCTTCTTCTCTGTGAAGAATCAATAAAATATTTTTTTAATTTAAAAAAAAAAAGCATCAAGCCAAATAGAAGATATTTGCAAATAATCCTTCAAATAATGTTCTAATCTATAATAATAAAAGCATAATATGCTAATAAAACTAGACATCCTTCTGGACGAAGCCAGGGCTGTGAGGGAAGCCTGGGTCCAAGGTGCCTGCAGGCAGCCCAGGTCCAGGGTGCCAGAGGGAAGCTGGTGCCAGCAGCCGGGAGATGGAAGGCCTACTCTTGCACAATTTCATGCATTGATGAGGCCAATATGCAAATTGACTGAACAGAACAATCTGTGGCTATGAAGTGCACTGACCACCAGGGAGCAGACGCTCAATGTAGGCACTGCCCTTGGATGGTCACAGCGAGAAGCTGGGCTCATGGCTGGCGAGCACAGCGGTTGTGGTGGGAGCCTCTCCTGCCTCGAGGGCAGCGCTAAGGACCCCCAAGCAGGCAGTCGGACATTCTCCAAGGGGTCCTGGACTGCGAGAGGGCCCCCGGAGCATGAATGTTGTACACCGGGACTCTAGTATCCAATATACATAAAGAACTCATACAATGCAAATTCAAGAAAACGAACAGTTCTATTAAAAAGTAGGTAACAGACAAGAACACTTTCCCAAGAAGACATACAGATAATCAACAGACATATAAAAAAAAAAAATGTCCAACTTCTTTGGTTATAAGGGAAATGCAAATCAAAACTACAATGAGATACCAACTCATACATGTGAGAATGGGTATTAACAGTAAGGTAAGAAGTACGTTTTTAAGAGGATATAGAGGAGAAAAGGGAACCTTTGAGGGTATGAAAATTGATGTAGCCTCTATGGAAAATAATATAAAGTTTCTCTAAAAAAAAAAAAAAAAAAAAAAAAAAAAAGGGAAGAATTGTTACCTTATCACCCAGAAATTCCTCTTCTGTATATCTAATTTAAAAAAAAAACAAAACACTTATTTGTAAATATACATGCATGTACTTTATGCTCAATGCAGCATTATTCACAATAACCAAGACTTGGAAACAACCTAGGTGTTATTCAACAGATGATTGGATAAAGAGGATGTGGCACATGCACACTAAAGAGAAAAAAATTGCACTACTCAGCCATTCAAAAGATGAAATACTGCCGAAACCGGTTTGGCTCAGTGGTAGAGCGTCGGCCTGCAGACTGAAAGGTCCTGGGTTCGATTCCGGTCAAGGGCATGTACCTTGATTGCAGGCGCATCCGGTGGGGGTTGTGCAAGAGGCAGCTGGTCGATGTTTCTCTCTCATCAGCGTTTCTAGCTCTCTATCTCTCTCCCTTCCTCTCTGTAAAAAATCAATAAAATATAAAATTAAATTTAAAAAAAGATGAAATACTGCCATTTGTGACAACATGGATAGATCTAGAGAGTATCACAATAAGTGAAATAAGTTAAAAGGAAAAGGACAAGAACCATATCATTTCATTTGTATGTCAAATAGAAAACAGAAATCAACAAATAAACAGACAAAACAAACTCTTAGAAGTAGACAATAGTATGGTAGTTACCAGAGGATAAGTGGGTTAAGTGGGTGGGGGAGGATAAAAAGGATCAAATATATAGTGATGGAATAAGATATACAGGTGACATAATATAAATTTGTACACCTAAATCTTATGTTATTAATCAATGTTGTCTCAATAAATTTAATTTTAAAATGAAAGTAAATAAAAGTTTACATTCTGAATGATAAAAAGTTTCACTATTATTAATGTTTAGAGAATGCTAATGATTAATGAGAGGAAAAAAAATCACTGATGACCCATTTGATTTGGGGAGGTTGTTAGAAAAGGCTTCTCTGTGGAGCAGGGCAAGGAGCGATATCTGCAATATCCTCAACAGTAAAGACAAATAAATTTTTAAAAATAATAAAGAAGAAAAGGCTTCTCTGAAATAAAAATACTTGTGTTGTGAGAGAAAAGATGGCCAATTGTAAATTAGGAGAAATTTTAAAAGGGCAAGCATTGGGGGCTAAGCGAGCAGAAAAACCAGTTGCACTTGTCTTGGTAAGCTTGGTAACAGAAGTGATTTGAGAGACCAGTGAGATAGTGAACAGATAATTGGGGTCAGGATGGACAGAGTATGTGAGGCCCACAGTTTGAGCAACTAGTACTATTCTTTAAAGTGCCTCTCATGTTGGTGATTTTATGATTATTTATGGGTTAGAAATTTTATTGTTTTTGCTCATCATTATCAGCATTCCAGGGTTTTATCTGGTGCTTGGCATATAGTAGATGCTCACCGTATACACATGTTAGGCATATAATAAAATTTGAGACCAAAGTGTCAACTATATCACACAAAAAAGAAATCTTCAAGCTCTTGCTAAATAAGGAAACCAATGGCAATTTCTTAACTCAATAAAGACTTGTTGTTTTAAAACTGCAGACAACAGAATATTCTCCATTACTCACTAAAACATTTGAGTTAAATTTATGAAGAGACCAATGAAGTCAAATCATTGATATTCAATCACTTGATATTCTGCTGAACATTTAAAGAGACAAATAAGATGAGGAAAGAAAATTCTCCTGAGTACTGAACATCAGAAATAATTATATTATTTGTAGATACTATTGTGGACACTGAGTTGAAACAACAATAACATCAATATAGGACGTGATATCAGTGAGTCAGATCTGCTGCAGAAAGGTTAGAAAATGCCATAAAGAAACCCAATCATATTAGGAACAAAATAGACAATACCTTATGCAGAGTAGATATTCAGAGAGTAGTTAATGAATAAATGATTGAAAACAAAAAAATTCAAAAGAAGCTTACAATTACGGAAAAGAGTAGAAAAAAGTGGAGATTCTATGGAAAAGAAATATTTTTATGGAGACCTCTAGATTCCAAAAAGAGAGGACAGAAAAAAAGGCTTGAAAAGACAGGTTTCAAGGGAAACTGAAGTACCTTCAAGTACAGAGTCTTCATTGTTGTAAACCATATACTACAGGATTGTCTCAGTCTAATTGTTCCAAAGGTAAAGCCAGTACCCACATTGTCTCATTTCCCTTTCACTCCAACAACCCTTACTGGATGGAATGCGATGACCTTCTCTGCAGGGTATCTCTGCAGCTGTCTGTTCTCCAAGGTCTGTCCCTGGGAAGCCCACTTGAGCTTTTATTTGGCTGGGACCAGAGAATTAAGGAAAGTGGCAAAAGGAACACGTTTAAAGTTTACAATATCTCAAGTGTTGAATTCTCAGAGCTCCTCATTAAATCAGTTGTGCTACTGTCTTTTACTCTCCAAACAATTCAGATCCCCTGGGGAGCAAAGATACCAGATTTTTGTGCATGTACAAGCATCAGAGGTGGGGGATGAATTTATTTCCTCCAAAGAGAAACAATTATTTCTTTTGTCTGACTTAAGTGACAAGCTATCCCTAAGGAATGTTTAATTGCTCAGGAACCAAAGCTAGAAACCAACTTCTTTCTTCTTTCTGTTCTACCATTAAAGAAACTTTGGATGTCTCATGGATCACTTCCTTTAAAAAAAAAATGTTAAAAGCAGAGTTGTAAAATAGTTTGGTTCTGTTCAAAGAACCAACCAAATGAGGGCTGAAAAATATTCTTTGCATTTGATGGTGACAGGGTCCCTCTGTTGGTATTAATGAAGGCTCCACTTACTACCTCTAAATAGAGGGCTAGAGGCAGAAACAATATAGGTGGAGAGGATTAAAGAATGAGTATTGGGGAAATACACACTGAGTGACCAGATTATTATGGTCTCTAAATGCATAATAATCTGGCCACTCAGTGTATATCCTATATAATAAAGGGCTAACATGCAAATTGACCCCTCAACCAGGAGTTCAACCAACTGGCAGGCTGGCTAACCACCCATGTCCCCTCCCCCTGGCCAGGCTGGCTAGACCCAAACCATGCATGAATTCATGCACCAGGCCTCTAATATTTATACTGAGTGGCCAGATTATTATGCTCTCTGAACGCATAATAATCTGGCCACTCAATGCAGGTGACAAATATAATCCACCTATGATGATTGTGGAAAAGGGGAGGAAAGAGTATAAAGAATAGTGTAAAGACAGTGTGGAACATTATAGAGTTAGAGAAAAAATTTAATGGAACATACAGGGACAGAGAATGACCAAATTTAGTGCAGACCTTTGAATGCACAGGAAGTTCTGACTACAGAGTCCACAGGATGCAGTATACATTCTAAATAATTGACAATCAGTGTGCTGTATCTTGATGTATAGAATATTTTCACACTTTCATTGAGTCACTTGGGAGTTTGTGCTTCAGATCTCCACAACTCTGTCCTCTGCAGGCCAAGAGATCTTGACTCCTAAAAAGATGCACTTCCAAACACATGGCAAAAGTTCCATTGAATTTCCAGCTCTAATGCCTCCTGGCACTTCAGTTCCTTCATGCCAAGAAGAGGAGTCACCATTCTGGCAGGGGTTACTGATCCTGGTCATCAGTGTCATCATGTTACCATGGCAATGGGCATGCACTGGCATTCTGCTGTTCTAACTAAGTGGCTGGGTGCAGCTCAGGAGCAACCACAGTACAAATACAGTGGTGAATGCAAATGTCTTTGGCCCATTATGCTGCCCTCAGCAAGAGATCTGAGTGGGGTCACCTGGGTGAGGCAGCTTCCTTTAACTGATGGGTCTTTGCAAAGCAGACTGAGTGCTGTCAAATGGCTGCCCTTCCTGCACCTGGAACAATAAACCCTTAATCCTGAAGCTAGAATCTGGGCAATGGCACATCTATTGTCCATCCCTAGGGACATTTGAACCAACTTTTTATTTTATTTTAGCCTTACAAGATTTTTATAGTTCTTTACAATTCTTTTTATTTTCTAATTACAGTTAACATTCAATCTATACTAATAAAAGGGTAATATGCAAATTGGTCAGGACACCCTCACAGTAATGACCGAACAGCAGGCTGCATGGGACAACCTGGCCAGCAGGGGGGTTAGTGAGGGATGACACAATAACTGAACAGCAGGCTGTGTGGGGCAACCAGGCCAGTGGGGGAGGGGGGGGGGGGAAGAACAGTCAGGAGTGGGGAGGACAGGGACAACCAGACCAGTAGAGGGGGACAGTGAGGAGTGACCAGGCTGGCAGAGGGGGGCAATTGGGGGTAACCAGGCCAGCAGGCAGATGCAGGTAGGGGTAACCAGGCTGGCAGGGAGGGCAGTTAGGAGCCAGCAGTCCTGGATTGTGAGAGGAATAAAAACCCAGAAGTGAAATGGCTGGGTCATATGGTAGCTGTATTTGTTTTTATTTTTGAGGAACCTATAACCTGTTTTCCACAGTGGCTGTACCAATTAATATTCACATCAACAAGACACAAGGGTTCCCTTTTCTCCACATCCTCACAAACTCTATTTATTCTCTCCTTGTTAGTAGCTGTTATAGCAGGTGCAAGTCCATATGTCATTGTCATTTTTTTATTAAAAAATTTTAATACTGACATTATTGCAGGTGTCCCAGTTTTCCCTCCTTTGCCAACTCTCACCCAACCCTCCCTCCCCCTCTCTTGGCATTCACCACAATATTGTCCATATTCATGGGGTATGCATATATGCTAAAGAGCTAATTCCTTCACCTTCTTTATCCAGTCATCCTCACCCCTCCCCTTAATTTATATTTCTTGAATATTAATGATGTTGAACACCTTTTAAAGTATCTGTTGGCCAACTACGTCTTGTTTGTGAAAATGTCTATTCAGGTTCTCTGCCTGTTTTTAACTGGATTTTTCCTTATCTTGCTATTGAGTTGTATGTATCCTTTATGTATATTATGTATTAACCCTTTATCAGATACATGATTTGCAAATATTTCCTCCCATTTGGTAGAAAGCTTTCATTATTTTGTTGATGGTTTCCTTTGCTCTGCAGAACCTTTTGGTTGAATATGGACTCATTTGCTTATTTTGGTGTGTGGGGTTTTTTTGTTGCTGTTATTTGTTTGTTTGTTTGTTTGTTTGTTTGTTTTGTGGGATTTTTTATTTTTGTTTTTACCTTTATTTGAATCAACCTTTTGTATAAGTTTTGGGAGAAACTCTTCCAAAGGTTCAGTGTGATTGTTTTAGGGGAGAGGGTGAATGAGATGCACTAAAAAGAGGAGGATCAATGGGAAGAACTGTAGCTTCTGCTACTATATGTGGTCTCAAAGCCATTAACGGATACTCGGTGCCTCTCTCCTCTATCCATTCTCAATTCCCCTCACCCTTGAGTAATATCTCTGGATGGCTTACCTGGTGGAGTGATCCAAACTCTCCTCCCAGAGGGTTGTGAGGGCCAGGGAAGTCAGATGACTTGCCTAAGATCATGTACCCAGTAAGATAAAAAAATAAATAAAAATAAAAAAATGGGAGTTTAATCCCCAGCACTCTGGCTCATGCCTTTTTTAAAGTGAATAATTCCACCTGGAGCAGCCGGGCCCAGAGCAGCTGGGTCCAGAGCAGCCGGGTCGGGAGTGGCCAGGCCCGGAGCAGCAGCTGCCAGGCCAGGAGCGGCAGTGGCCAGACCCGGAGCAGCTAGTTGTGGAATGGACCAGAGCTACAGAGGCCAGGCCCGGAGCAGCCAGGCCCAGAACAGCTCACTCCTCGCCTGCCCCCACCCCAAGGCTGCCTCTCAGACATGGCTGGAAACTTTTGGGGGAACTTGAGGGTCTGCTGAATGAAGTGATGAAGGCTTAGATCTGGATGTGTTGAGTTAGTATAGCGCTGGGGTGTTGATCTGTGAGTGCCTTGTATGGGGCCTGGATGAGGCTGGTTGACCTATTTGGAAATGTCTTTTGTGTGAAGTGTATCCTTGGGCATGTGGAGGTATTATTGATTTGAGAAAATGCTAAGTAACTGATTTACTATCTGAAAATTTTAAAGTTCTGAAAGTTTAAGGTCTCTTGCCAAAAAGAGGTTTTAAAGCTAACACCTTAATTTTAATGGAGAAAGGGGAAGACAAGCCCTTCCCACCCAGAACAGGTAATCCAATTCCAGCCAGCAGCTATGTTTAAACAATGTGTCCATTTACACTTGAATGGCTACACCTTTTGATACCCTAAGGGCAAGTTTACATGTAAACAAGTTTGCTTCTCAATTCCCAGGGCAGAAAAAAAAAAAAAAATTTATTCTTAGAAGTGTAAAAGTTTATTAATTAAAAAAAAAAAACACAACAACAAAAAAGGAGATTGAAAAACCTGATGAACAATAATAGCTGTTCATTTTAGTAGAGTCAGCGATATGGGAGGGGAGTGGACTGACTGTTCTGGGGGGGGAGTGGTGGAGGGGGGAAGAGACTGAACATAAAATGTGCACCTATGGATTAGGACAATGGGGGGTGGGGAGGGGGCGGAGGGTGGGGTGGGAACCTGGTGGAGGGCATGTGAGTTTAATATCATTTAATATCATAATTGCCATAATATCTATATATAGCTATATATCTATATATCTATATATCTATATATCTATATATATATGTGTGTGTGTGTGTGTGTGTGTGTGTGTGTGTGTGTGTGTGTATATATATATATATAGCATGTAAGATTTTTTTCTCCTTATCTAGGGCAGGTCATGTACTCCATCCATCTTGCCCCATCCTATGTAACTCAGCATCTGTCACATAGCATGGATGATATCCATGTTGCCTAGCTGCTGCACCAGGCAAGCCTTATATGCAAACTCTCTTCATGAACTCTCAATGTTTTGACAGAGTTGCCAGCCTCTTTCTCCAGTCTCTCAGCCCTGGGAAATTTTACATAGATAGATGATAGATGATAGATAGATAGATAGATAGATAGATAGATAGATAGATAGAGATAAATAGATAATAGATAGAGATGATAGATAGATAGACATATAGATATACTACATATATTAGCACTAAGCTGTACAAGTTTTTCTTGAATATCAATTTTTCCTTTAAACAAATTAACCTGGTGGTAATCTGATGTGTCTTTGTCACTGAATACATCACCATCACTGGATGATAGGTAAAGTCTTGAGACTTTTGAACTATTAATGTTGGACATGGCAGAGGGACAAAGATGTTGAGATGTTGAGGTAGGAGTAGGCCCCTAGGAAAACCTAGCAATATTCTGGGTAAATAAAGTAGCAATTGGCTGTGCTGAAAATATTTCTCTCATATCATATCACAAATATATCACACTGAAAGATTATGAATTGTGGCACTAATGGAATTCCTGGTATTCCACATTTAAAACATCATTTATATATGGACTTGAGTAACTATCCAGGCAAGTCCTACATGTACTTGCCAGCTTTCCAGACTATTTTGATCTTTTGGTACTCTTATTCCACAATAGCCATATCAAAGGCAGAGTGAATATAAAGAATAATTTACCAGCCTCTAAATATACCAGCCTAGAAGGGACACATCAATTCTATTCATATTTTATTGGAAAGATAAAAACATATTGTCACCATTTCCTCCAAGGAGAAAGGAAGTGCAATTCTGTTGCGTATCCAATAAGAGAGAATAATTATAAATATTGCCAATCAGCAGTAAAATCTACCATATAGATGTGCACAACGTCAAAATCCACGTGAAAAGCTGTGAAGACTGTTAGATTAAATTATGGGCTCAGGGTTAGAGTTTCGGATTTGAATCCTGCTTTTGCCACTTGGTCCCTCGTCCCTCTGTAATCGTCACTCTGTAACTTTGGGAACGTTTTCTTTTGTTTTTAGCTTTCTTAGGGTCTCATTTTTGTCCCCTCTAAAATGGGGACAGTAATTTTTCCTATTAAGAAGATTACATAAGATAACAGAGAAAGCCGAAATGGGTTTGACTCAGTGGATAGAGCGTCGGCCTGCAGACTGAAGGGTCCCAGGTTTCGATTCCGGTCAGGGGCATGTACCTTGGTTGCGGGCATATCCCCAGTGGGGAGTGTGCAGGAGGCAGCTGATCGATGTTTCTCTCTCATGTGTTTTTCTAGCTCTCTATCCTTCTCCTTTCCTCTCTGTAAAAAATAAATAAAATATATTTTAAAAAATAACAACAAAAACACTGTTGGTTATACACACAAATAACACAATTCACAATCAAACACAGAAATAATTAAAGGGAACAATCACTTTAAGCTCTCTAGGCCAACTTTTGAAATAACAAAGATAACTTGCCTTAAATCGAAGTTTAGAACTCTCTAGTGTGAAAGTAAGGAATAAGACCAAGGACATAATTTTTAGACAACCAATAGGACAAAAAAAGACATCAAAGAAATCACCTGAGATTAGTTGTTTAAATGTGTATAAAAAAACTATAAGAGAGGCACCCTCCACATACAGATCCTTAAGAATTGGGATAAAAGAATAAGATTGTTTGAGATACTCAAGAGTAAGAATTTCAGAATAAAAGGTTTTGACACTGGTACTCACAAAACTTCTCAGTCCCAGGACCAATGGATTTATCACAGACAAGAGACTGCTCTGCTAAGAAGCCTTCCCAGGGCGCCCTTCACATCCTTGTTCCTCAAACTATAGATGAAGGGGTTCAGCATGGGGGTGACTACAGTATACATCACTGAGGCCACTGAGACTTTCTGGGAAGAGTGAACCATCGAAGAAGTGAAGTAGACCCCAATGCCTGTTGCATAAAATAAAGAAACGACTGAGAGATGACACCCACAGGTGGCAAATGCTTTTTGCCTTCCCTGCGATGAGGACATCTTCTTTACGGCTGAAGTAATTCTTGAGTAGGAGAATAGGATCCCCAAAAGAGGGAATACACCCAGGACACCAGTCATAAAATATAACAATGTGTTATTTAGGAAGGTATCAGAGCAGGCCAACTTGAGGATCTGTGTCACCTCACAGAAGAAATGTGGAATTTCAAGATCTCTACAGAAATTCAGATGCATCATCAGAGAGATATGGAGGAGGGATGTCATGACACCAATGAACCAAGTAATAAAAACTAGCAAGCCACAGAGACGAGGGCTCATGATGATCATGTAGTGCAGGGGCTGACAGATGGCCACATACCGGTCGTAGGCCATTACGGTCAGGAGTAGGGTGTCCAGGATAGGAAAAAACATGGAAAAATATACCTGAGTGAGGCAGTTCATGTAGGAAATGGCTTTGTTCTCTGTCTGGATGCTCACCAGCATATTGGGGACTATGGTGGTACTGAAACAGATGTCAACCAAGGACAGGTTGGAAAGGAAGAAGTACATGGGGATGTGGAGGTGGGAGTCAAAGCTGATGATTAGGATGATGAGCAAGTTCCCAAGCACTGTAACCACGTACATGAAGAGGAACAGTCCAAAGACGAGGCGCTGCAGTTCTGGATCCTCAGAGAGTCCAAAGAGGGTGAACACTAAAATTCCTGTTTTGTTCCCTGCTTTCATGTGGTTGATATATCTATGAAGGAAGAGATTGGAACAACATGAATTAGCACAAACTGGCACCCTCCACATACCAGAAATGTTGACTATACCTTTCACACAAGTTATTTATAAAGACTGTCATTTTTCTAAGAGTAGGATCTCTATTCACTTATAAATAGAATCCTAAAAAATGGAATCTCTTATCCCACCCACTCATCTTAAGTATCCATTTTATAACAATGAAACCAAAAGGGAATCCTACAAAATAGAATTTCTGACCACCTATCTTAAGTACCCACTTTATAACAATCCCGTCAGAAGGTTATGAGGCTTCAAAATGAGACAAGTCAACATCATGTACCTCCTGGTATGAGGCACTAGAAAGGACTCAATGAGACTACTGTGGGATTTGGCCAAAGACATATGACTTCAATATACAGATTAAAGAGCATCAGACAAAGCCAAATTGAGGGGCATTCAAATTCAAAAAAAGTCTAGGAACTGTTCTGGATTAACGGTGCCTAAAGTGATCTCAAGCAAATACCGTGTTTCTCTAAAAATAAGACATCCTCCGAAAATAAGACCTACTTACGGGTTTCCTTCTGAGTGAAATATAAGGCATCCCCCCAAAAATAAGGCCCCCCTAGGCTCTGTCTCTGAATGCTATTGCTAAACATGAGAGATTTGGTCCACTGATTCTGAAAGAAATGGAGTCACAAGAAATTCACCAGGAAATTCGGGAATTGGATTATGATGATGATGTTCCAAAAGATGATGACATGATTGTCATTGAATAAATGAGTAAATTCTTGATACTGTAGGATTCACAGTTTGTCTGGTTTGTGTTGACAACTACCGTACTACTGTACCGTATACAGGTAATAAATTTCCTTTATTTTCATTTAACAATAACTGTGTACCGTATTCTTCTTCATGGAAAAATAAGACATCCCCTGAAAAGAAGACCTAGCGCATCTTTGGGAGCAAAAATTAATATAAGACACTGTCTTATTTTCGGGGAAACAGGGTATAACATATGATCTTAGATTTTCTTTTGCTACCGATGACATTATTAGAATAATTATCCAAATAGGACTGATGTCTGTAACTTTCATAACAGTATTATATCAATGTTAATTTCCTGATTTTGATCATTGTACTGAGGTTGTGTGAGGAAAATGTCCTTGTTTTTTAGGGAATACCGATGATTTAGAGGTGTAACTTATTTTCAAATGGTTTGGAAAACACACCTACACACAAAAGGAAGACAGAGAACATGGGGTAAAGATAAAAGTTAAGGTGGTAAAAATGTTAACATTCAGGAGATCCAGCAATAGTTCCGTAGGAACTATTCTTTCAACTTTTTTTCAAACCTGAAATAATTTAAAAGTTAAAAACACTTTCACACAATGCCCAATAGTACTGGATAGAAAAAGGAAAGAAAATCCATCCGTGAAATGTCAGAAAGGTCAGACCTCAAAAATTACTGTAGCTGAGGCGGCCACTCACAGGTTTAGAGTCCACATTCACCTAGAACCTCAGCCAAGGAATTCAGTCTCAAGTGGTCCTGGATGGCACATACCCAGGCCCCAGGCAGAAGCAAACACAAATATGCGCTGAAAGGAATTTTCATCTGAAGATTTTTGCCTCGGTGTCTATGACTTTTCTTTCTTTTAACACCCTATCCAGGTTTGCTAGTACATGCGGGTTCCTTCCAACTTCCCAGTCTTAAGCACAACACTAGCTTTTCACTCTTGCAGTTCTAACACTTTTGCCTCTTAGGAATCCTAAACATCCCCAGCCTTGCTTATGTAAGTACTGCCCTCCCAGCTGGGGTGCTCCTCCATGCCTTTGTCTTCCTGTGATAATTCTTATCCTTCTCTTTTATATGGAATATCACTTCCTCAAAGAAGCCTTCCTGAACCTTTCCGGCCCAGCAAGTGCAGTCCCCCTAGTTCATGCTTTTATAGCTTCCTAGAGTCTTCTTTACTAAGTCATTGTTGTGTTTTTGCATTTACTTATGAAATTATTTTATTAATATATGTCCCTGTGCCCAGATGGCATGGCTCAGTGGTTGAGCATTGACCTATGAACCAAGAGGTCACAGTTCGATTTCCAGTCTGGGTAAATGCCCATGATGAGGTGTGTAGGAGGCAGTCAATCAATGATTCTCTCTCATCATTGATGTTTCTATCTCTATCTCTATCTCTATCTCTTCCTCTCTGAAATCAATAAAAATATATATTTTTTAAAATCTGTGCCTCTCAAGACTGAAACATAAGCTATACATCTCAGCTCACATGTTATAAAATTTACTTATCCTGGTATTCCAGTGGTTTGTTCTCAAAGAGCAGGAAAAGTTTAATAAAGATTGCAACCAAGAGCAATATATAATATAAACAAGAAATCTACAAGTTAATCACACATTGGCTGTAGATGCAGCAAACTGAAAAAGGAGTAAGATGAAGGTATCTGCTTAATAAATATAACATATTCCCTTGTGAATCAACGTTCATTTGAAAGGTTTAAAATATTTAATATTAGAAAGTCAGATAACAAAGTATTTGCATGAACAGAGCGATGTAGAAATAATGATAGTTTCAATATAAATGTATGTAATAAAATGTAACAGTCATTGATGGGAAGGAAACAGTAAAATTTTAAATATTAATCCAAGATCCATCATTAAACCCTAAAACACAAAAAACTCATAAGAAGCAGAAAGAAGAAATTATGCCTGTTGCTATAATTATTTAACATAGTACTTAATAATTCAAAAGAAATACCATAAGACAAGAAAAGTAAACCGGATATAATAGTTGAAAACCAAAAACAAAATTGGTCATGATCAGCTGCTGATATGATTACCTACTTGGGAACACTAAAGTCAACTTAAACTCAATTAGAACTAATCAGTATCATCAGCTTTCTTTGTTTCTCCAAAGAATCATTAGGAAAAAGGGAACATAGGTCCATTCACAATTGCAATGACAACATAGATAATACCTGGCATATAGTTAGCATTCAGTACATATATTTAATCAAAGAGTGTATATAAGCCCTGGCCAATGTGGCCCAGTTGGTTGGGCATCATCCCATGCACCAAGAGGTTGCTGGTTCGATTCCCAGTCTCAGGCACATGCCCAGGTTGGGGGCTCCATCCCTGATGAGGAGCATGCAGGAGGCAGCAGGTTGATGTTACAGCTCTCATAAAGATGTTTCTCTCTCTCTCCTTCTCCCTTCCTAAAAATCAATACACTATTATTATTTTTTTAATAGTATACATAGCCTCTTAAAAACCAAATTATGATGGAGGTGAAGTGGAGGGAGAAGCAGACACTTTGCTGGAACAGAGGTTCTCTAATTACTGAAGGCATCAGAATCACCTGGAGAATATTTAAAACAGATTGTTGGGTCTTAGCCCTGGAATTTCTGCCAGCAGGTCTTGGGTGGGCCTGAGACTGCATTTCCAGCAAACTCCCCAGAGTGTGCTGAGGCCAGTGCTTCAGGCACCACACTTGGAGAATTACTGTACTACAAGAAGACAGAAAGCTCTTTGCAAGAGGGGGGGGGACACACACACACACACACACACACACACACACACACACAAGAGGCGGTATGTGGAAACTTTTGATACTGGAGAAAGTGCCAGTTCCTACTGACACTGAGCAAGTTACTGGTTCCTGAATGAGTTTCCATCAGAGCTGGAAGTAACAGAAACAACACAATCTAAAAAGACATACATAACCAGGAAAATAAATTCCAAAGATTAAAATTAAATTTCCATGGTTCATCATCAACCATGCTCTCTCTTTCCCTCACTATTTTTTATCTAATTTGATTTTAGAGAGAGAAATCGATTTGTTGTTCCACAAATTTACGCATTTGTTGGTTGCTTCTTGTATGTGCCCTGGCCAAAGATCAAGCTTGCAACCCTGGTGTATCAGGGTGCTCTAAGTAATTGAGCTACCCGGCCAGGGACTCCTCACTATTTTTTTTTCTTTAAAAAAAAAAATATTTTATTGATTTTTTACAGAGAGAAAAAGAGAGGGATAGAAAGCTAGAAACATTGATGAGAGAGAAACATCGTTCAGCTGCCTCTTATATGCCCCTACTGGGGAGGTGCCCGCAACCAAGGTACATGCCCTTGACCGGAATTGAACCTGGGACCTTTCAGTCTGCAGACCCATGCTCTATCCACTGAGCCAAACCAGTTTCGGCTACCACTTTTTTATTTATTTATTTATTTATTTATTTATTTATTTTTAAAATATATTTTATTGATTTTGTACAGAGAGGAAGGGAGAGAGAGAGATAGTTAGAAACATCGATGAGAGAGAGTCATCGATCAGTTGCCTCTTGCACACCCCCTACTGGCGATATGCCCACAACCAAGGTACATGCCCTTGACCGGAATCGAACCCGGGACCTTTCAGTCCCCAAGCCGACGCTCTATCCATTGAGCCAAACCGGTTTCGGCTCGGCTACCACTTGTTTAATATGTCTATTCATACGCCGTATTCACTAGGCCAGGGGATTCACTCCACTGGCACTGCTTAAAGAAATATTTGTACAAACTCTTTCTTCTCTGACAGTTAGATGCTGAAAACAGACTCACCCAGGGAATGGTAGGGAGATAGAACTTGTCTACAAAGTCATGTCTGTGAGAGGCACAGGTGTGGTCTTTCCCCTGGTCAGGCCTCATTGAACTATGGGTGAGGATGCTAGAGAAGTATTTATGGTTTGTCAAGCCCCAGGAGAATGATTTTTCATCATTCCTCATTAAACAAAATTGTTCCTGTGATGTTGTACCTTTGAAGTCACTCATCTCCCTTGGGGTGCAGAGCAAATGGCAGAACTGAAAGCCTGTGTTTATTCTGTCTCCAGGAAGGCACCTTTGGAGCCAGACGGACCCATACCACACCCCCTCCCACCCCAAACACACATGATGTTTCTCTCTCATTGATGTTTCTAGCTTTCTATCCAAAGAATCATTAGGAAAGAGGGACCATAGGTCCATTCACAATCGCAATGGCAACACAGATAATATCTGACACATAGTCAGCATTCAGTACATATTTTTTAATCAAAAAGTGTATATAAGCCCTGGCCAATGTGGCCCAGTTGGTTGGACATCATCCCATGCACCAGGAGGTTGCTGGTTCGATTCCCAATCTCGGGCACATGCCCAGGTTGGGGGCTCCATCCCTGATGAGGAGCATGCAGGAGGCAGCAGGTTGATGTTACAGCTCTCATAATGATGTTTCTCTCTCTCCTTCTCCCTTCCTAAAAATCAATACACTATTATTATTTTTAATAGTATACATAACCTCATAAAAACCAAATGATGATGGGGGTGGAGAGGAGGGAGAAACACACTTTGCTGGAGCAGAGGTTCTCTAATTACAGGAGGCATCAGAATCACCTGGAGGATATGTTAAAACAGATTGTTGGGTCTTAGCCCTGGAACTTCTGTTAGCAGGTCTTGCTCAGAGTCAGCAGGAATTGGCACTTTCTCCAGTATAAAAAGTTTCCATACA